CAAATGTCGTTTAAACCGTGTAACTTCGAACTGAATTACTACCAAATACTTTAATTGAGCGAAAAGTACTACCCGTTTCAGAGAGTTTCTCAATACACGTAAAACGTGTTCCATTCTCGTGGACAACACAAGTAGTGTTACACAGCAGGGGGGAGGAGGCTCCTGAAAGGTTAAGGCATTTCAAGGTATTGCTACGTAGTACTTCAACTACTTTAGTACTACTACTGGTAGTATTATGCGAAGGTATTGTTTGCTGTTGAGACCGCCATACTTTACTGTTGAGGACAATCAATTAGGGCAGATAGAGAGTTCTAAACACGTGAATATGAAACAAAGTTGTGCACTAATTAGCCGCCTTCATTCGTACGACTGTAATACGCAATGATGTCAAGGACAAGTACTACGCAAATGTAATGAACCGAACTAGCAGAGAGATACATTTAGCAGCCGCTGCCGCCAGCGATCATCAGGCACGAGGTGCTCTCGAACATGGCCATGATGTTGGTCATCAGGGACCACACAAACGCGAACGTAAGGTAGGCCACAGTGAGCGCGCCGAACAGCTTGCTGCTGCCGCCCGTGCGCAGCAGTTCCTGAGTCTCTTCCTTCTGACGAGGCAGGAAAACCAGGAAGACCCACGAGAAGGCCGTCATGCCGTACATAATGATCACGGCGTACGTGATGTCCGTACGGATGGACTTATCGTCCTCCTGGATGCGCTCCGTAGTCAGGTTGAACGGCTGGTCGATCACCAGCGTCATGGCCGTAGCGAACGGCGATGCCAGGTTGGAAACCATCGTGATCAGACCGTACACGACGCCCTCGTTGCCGATACCCGACAGCTCGACGATGACGAAGGAAGAGATCATAAAGCCAACACCGTAGGGGAGCTGCACGGCCATAGGCAATCCCAGCCAGAACCACTGGCTACGGAACACGTTCCAGATCGTGATGAAGGTCGTGATACCATCGACAATCATCACGAAGGCGCCCGTGAAGAGGATCATCCAGCGCCAGCTCCAGTGCAGGCCCCACTTGGACGTGACCATGATACCGGTGAAGAAGCAAATGTTACCGATGATCTCGCTGATAGTACTGTTAATCGGCGTGACGCCAACCATGTACGACTGTACGGGAGAGCTGGCAGTGTACGAGATGGTAGAGAACATTCCCTGGAAGAAGGTGAAGAAGATAACTTGGTACATCACGCGCTTCTGGATCAGATCCCACAGCTCGTTCATGTAGTTCGTGAAGTTCACGCGAGGCTTCTTCTCCTCCTTGATGAAGAACCAGGTCATTGGGATAACCGGCACCGTCAACACAGCAAGAATGATCATCAGGTGCGGGAAGGTGATGGAGAAGTTGAAGTCACCGCCGTACTCCTCTCCGTTGAAGCAGAAGCCGGTGAGCAACTGTCCGATGATGACGAACACGGTACGCACGGCGTAGATGGCCGACTGGGTCTTGCCACGGGTTTCGAGAGGCTCACGCTGGGCAAAGTCCACTACGATACTGTCGGCACACACGTCCGATAGCACATAGCCCACGGCAGCGAGGAACATGAGCATGACGTACTTGCCGGCTTGCGAAGACGCGTCGTAGTTGATACGCGCCTGAATCTCGGGTGTGTAGTCGGCCGGTTTGATGTCGCGGTCGGACGACACCGTGTAGTACGGGTCTCCCTCAGGCATGCAAGCCATGATAACCAATGCGAGCAAGCAAATGATCCATCCGATCACCATCCACGGACGACGACGGTATCCCCACAGCGGCACGCAGTCCGACAGGATACCGTAGAAGCACTTGAAAGTCCACGGTAGCACCACCAGCGTTTGAGCCGTAGTCACCTGGGTACCCGACGCGTTCAGGTAGTTCTGCAGGAACGGGTAAATTGTAGCCGGCAGCACACCATAGTTGAGACCGATGGCGGCATATTGGACGAGAAGACCAAGACTGTCCTTGCTCTTGAGGTCGGGGGCGCCACCTTCACGAAGAGCTCCGCCTTCAATAGCCGTCGGGTCGGGGGTCTTCACTGTCGTGTAATGGTTGCCATCCTCGATGTCCTTGGGCTGCGAGGTGCCGCTCACGAACGACAGCCTGGCAGCGATGTCGGTTTTGTTCGGATCGGGGTGGTGCGTAGTCGACATTCTGCCGTTGCGCTGGACTCGGGTGGACTCAAGAGCAGAAATCCAGGAATGAACCGTGTGGCGTGGGTAGCAGCCGCTAGGTGACGGCCTGGCAGCAGTTGGTTGTAGGCCGTCACCGCAGAGAGCAGACGTTTTGGCCAGAAGAGACTTTGAGCTTTGGAGAAATCGTTCCTCCGCACATTGGCATACAGCGATAAAGTTTGAAGTACCTCCCAGACTGTCGATTTATGAACACCAGCATGACGACGTGCGCGATTTGCTGCGGGACGACGATGCATGGGTGCCAGCCGCCGGTCCGGCGGGGATGAGTCCTCTGCGATGTATGGGGACGAACTGGTGAATACACCAGAGCGATATGAAGACGAAAAGTTAAGTTGACAGGGGGCCGCATCAAATAGTACATGAATGGGAGTGGCATCGAATACAACTGCCGCGATTAACTGAAACAAGTGTGTCTTTCTCGTACTTGAACACGTCGACGAGTCGATGACGACCACTTGTCAAATCAAGTCGACGCGCGCGTGTTTATGGGCATTTTAATAAGTCTGTAATGTTCTGCTGGTCGAGCATCCTATGCGCGGGGTATACATGTAATGTACCTCCCCTCAGGGAGGTCTCTTGACCTGTACACTGCGTGCAATGTAGCTTTATCCGGTGCATGCGTTGCGGTAGCCTACAAAATTCCTACAGCCTGTAGAAATTCTATCTACAGCATAGTGCAGGTTGGTAAATGTAATTGGTTCCAGAACCAAGCTAAGTATTACTACTTCGAGGTTTAGTTTTATCATGTATTAGTACTATAATACTTTAATAAAGACAGAACTAATACAAGCACAAAATGTCATGTAGTGATAGCTGAATCATTAACTTTTGGAGTTTTATACTGTAAAAATAAACCTGTTGATATTTGCAAGATCAAATAAGAACATGTGAAGATTCAAATTTTACAGTAGCACTACATAAGTATGCCTTAAATCTGTAAGAAGCAAATACAACCTATTCATAATCCTCCATGTATCAAAGCCTTCGTTTCAAAATTGCTGCCATGTGCAATAGTAGAAACCCGGTAGTACAATTCAGTGAATCCGTTTATAACTAGGATTACAACGTACTGATTCTAAACTGACCTTCAACTACTACTACTACTACTATTACTACTATATTTATACTTTGCTCCTGGTTAAGCATATTACATTCAGGAGGTATTACGATTAATCTCCAAGGCAATTAATTAATCAATCGAAATAAAAAGGGAAAATGACAAAACCTGCCTATTATCAGAGGCAAAGTGACAGAACCTGCCCCGTTTCCAAAACCTGCCTATCTGGCCCTGCACTTTGTCAAAAGCTGCCTACTAGTGTCAAGTGCAGCTGTGAAACACAGTGTGAGACGTGCCAAATCCGCAGCCAGAAGGCTGTCCACAATTCTCAATCGCAAGTCCAGACAACGTAGCATGGGCAAGACCGTTGGGCGCGGAGGGAAGTCCACAATTCTCTCCTACGCTGCACGTGCGGCCAAAGACAAGAAGCGTCGACCGAGACGTGTTGACTGGACGGTATCCAAATCGCGCAAAAAGTTTCGGATGGATCGGCGTGCGCCAGTGCGGGACTCGAAGCGCTGCTATCACGCGGCGACGATGAAGGTCTGCGAGAGGGGGAACTTTCTTCTTGCTGCCGACGCAGCTCCGATTGGCCGCGTAGCGAAGACGCCGCTTGAGCTGCTAGATGAGGAGGGGGAGGAAGCTGCCGACGCAGAGGTTGGAGAGACAGCGAGCCTGGAGACCTATTTCGACGGGGTCTCGGAGGGAGCTGCGGCACTTACTTGTGCTAATGAGGCACGTGTAGCACTCCCAGAGAACGTTGGCTGGCGCGTCCCTCATCTCTCAGGACGCTCAAGCGCACGGAAAACCTGTTGTTATCGACTTAACCAGTGATGACGAAGAGCCAGCAGTGTCGGCAATCCGTCAATCTGAATGCTTCTCCACCGAAGTCGTCCAGTGGCCGCGCGGAGTCACGCCTTCGAGCAAGCTAAGTAACCCTACCATTATTCGCTTTCGAGATATCGGAGCTACTGACTGGTGCGGTTGCACTTCCACCTGTGAGCGGGAGAGTTGTGATAACGCCTTCACTGAAATTTATTGTACTTCGCGGAACTGTCGGGTAGGAAGCAAGTGTGGAAACCGATTGGTGGACTTTGGGGGTATTGAGCTTCGGAAAGGCTGCGCAGGGTATGGAGTAGTAGCAACATCGTTTATCCCGGAAGGAGCTATAGTGGGTGAGTACACTGGAGTTCTCACAACTCATGATTTCGAGAAAGATGATGAACGAACGAGCGACTACGCCTTGGGTCTAGCAACTACAGATGTAAAGGGTCGAAAGGTCTACATCGACGCGAAGACGCAAGGAGGGTTGACAAGGTTCATCAACCACTCGTGTGATGCAGACACGAATAAGGGGATAGATCTCGAAGCCCCTCAGCTAGAGTAGCGCCGTTCTCGGCCTCTACGAAATTTGTCGTGCGCCATCCGTACAGAGGAGTCGTTCCCAAGTTCGGGAAAACCACCCAGTGCTTTGGATCGATACCACGGAGATAATCAGCAACAGGTTTTCCGCATTCCACTTCAGTGATAGCCAGCTGAGAGTTGTACTCATCCATACTAGTACAAGATTGGATACGCCAAACCAAAGCTTTCTGTTTAACAGTAAACTTCGTAAAAGTAGCAATCACATTTCGCTGAATGTGAAGAGTGCAGTACTTGTGGTCGATGCCACGCTGTTTACACACATCAATCAATCCAGTATTTCTATCCGACATCAGAGGGTAAGCAAACTTCATACCACCGAGGCAACATTGCTGGAAAAACCATTCGTAATTCTCCATCGTCTCTTTCTTCACAAGAGCTACAGCAAGTGTTACGTTTTCCATATTTCCATCACGTCCGATCAGTAGAAGCATAGTTCCGTTATAACGCTGATGTTTGGAATGAGCACCATCTAATCCAACAATTTTCTGAAGGTGACCCTCAGCACGAGAAGAAGTAGCTGGCACTACAACAGCTCGGTCAAAGCGCCCTACATCATCTACTTCACAGCAGGCGTGAGACCCCGGGTTCACGTTCTTAAACGCGCGTAGTAATCCTGGAATCTTCGTAAAAGACGCTGTGACATCACCTTGAGCATTTTCTTTAATTGCGTCAGCCGCGCGATACACCATGCGTTTCTGCTTGGCTAAGTTAACCATGTTGATAGCCTGGACTTGCTTGATTAAAGATTTCCCACTCACAGACGCGTCCGCTAAGACAGCGGCTCGAAGGGCGCTCATTTCCGCTACTTGACGCTGGGTGGGCTTGGGCTGAGAAGTGCAATTCATGTGTTCCAGATTCATGGAGGAGATGTACCAGGGAGGCGAGACACCGTCGTCCGAGGAGTTTTTCCGCTTGTATAATCGCACGAAGAAGTTGCATGTCTTCGATGAACACGCCACGAGCTTGTGCCCACCACCTTGGCTGTCAACTACGACACGTTTTCTTTCTGCGAGGGCGTAGTCTTGAATTGCGTGTAAAGCCGTCTTAGATGACGAAAACTCGTCACCCACTCTGAGCACTTCTTCACTTGGTTCCCTCATCTTCCAGACGAGTGCGATCGCGTCGATGATACAATTTTCCAAGTGCAGTGACCGTGTGGGTTGGTGGACAGCGTCGGTTTTGGGATTCTAACACTTAACAGTCTCAAAGGCGCTAGGGGCGGTTAGGGCCTGTTAAGATGCCTGTTAGATAGGCAGGCTCTGTCACTTTGCCTCTGATAATAGGCAGGATTTGTCATTTTCCCAAATAAAAATGAGCAATGGAAAAAATATTTCGAGAGATCTGATTGGCTGGGATGGCATTCAGACGAGTTTTTAGCACTAAGTTATTAGGGTTGTAAATGGTCCTAGTTCTCGTTTTGCTTACTGATAAGGTCACACTACACTAAGTACAAATTTACCGATTTCTATTGGAAAATTCGTACTTAGTGTAGTGTGACGTTTTGGCTAGATCAGCTCAGAACAAGTGGTTTTAGGCTTTTATTATTGATCTTTCGTCATTCGAAAGATCAATAATAATTGTTCTGATGTACTGGTCCTCACGGTTGGTGCCGAGCCGACTAAAAGGCTTTGCTGTTGAGGGTGTGTCACTGAGGCAGTTGGAAAAGGTGAGGAAAGTAGTGAGAAACATGATGATGGAAATTGAGCTAGACGAAGAAAGAGAGAGAGAATGCTAAAGCTTCACTTCGCAAAATACAAACAGCAGCACAAGCTGCCTTTCCCACCAACTTCGAGTGCTCTACGTTTCTTGCTGCAGGTGCAGACGCTTGCTTACCAGTGTAGTTTACAAGTATAATATATATGCAGCAAATCGTTGTATCTGCGGGCAACCGTCCATCAACCTCACCCAAAAGCTGTACCCTCTGCGAGACTCTGATCATGCGCTGCATGATCAGAGTCTTGTAGAAAGGAATCCTCCATAATCCTCTCGCTATTCTAACAATTCTGGTCGACGAAGAGCTGGCAACGACGCACGGCCCGGTGGAGCCTGTCATGGACAACCTACACTATCGAGTGCCGTTCGTGAGAGCGTGCATGAACTATGCTCGGAATGTGGTCGGTTTAGACCTCGCTTTCAGGAATCCCGAGGTAGGTAAATCACCTATCTTGATACCCGGGGGATTCGGATACCCGATTTAAGAAAGAAGTACGCGAAGTATGTTCTGAGTTGCTGTCGCTCCATTACCCAGTTTTGATGAAGTCCAGCATCAAGGACTACACGGAACTATTGATAGCTATGGTTGTAAAGTTTTAGACTACATTTGAAACTCCCATTTGGATCGATTCCTGCAGCACCTATCAAGTTTCAAGAGTAAATGTGGAGGAGGGGTGCCCCC